AGACAATTGATGGGATTGTGAGGAGTTTATGCAGTGTTTACATTAGGCTATGTTATCTGCTAAATACATGGAATGACGCAATGATATAAGGGGTAAAAATCAAATAATTTCATTAAATCTTCATGACGACAATTTGTTTGGGGTAGTAAACAACCTATGTTTTAATGTTTAATACCACAGAAACAACTTGCTGTGCATTCATAACAATTTAGGACATTTTTTTTTATATGAAAGCATATTGTAAGGGTAGGAAAAGCTAAAAATAACACAAATTTAGGTTCAAGGCTCTAGATTTGCAATATGTGACTTTTTGCCAAAAAAAAGGTTGAAATGTGGCTACTATCATTTCAAATGATCAGTTAAGACAAAAAAATCAATTGTTTTCTGATTTTTGGGTTTCACCGCTTTTCGCTTTAAAGGTGTCAGACCACCAATTAAAAATCCCTATCTGTTCAACCAAATTTTGCAATTTTCACAGCTTTCTAAATATTTTACCTCAAGTTTAACTTCATAGAAACCAGGTATATCCTGAATCATACATGTATCACCTTTCTACATGTCAATTTTCAACCCACCTTTAAAGTCTTATAAGAAAAAACTGACCTTCGGAACACAGGTACTACCAAAATAACCCCTGGTTTTCTGGAAATCTTAAATTAGTATACTGTGGAGCACATTAATCGTTAATTTTTAATGCAAACTCATAGACAGGTAAATTTTGGCTCAACATGGTCTAAATATATATTTCTCTTTGGACCAAAAGTTTCATTTCTGCAAATTTGTTGGTTAGTTTAATTATAAAATGACACCAAAAGTACTATTTTGTGTCAGAAAAGGGCTACTTTTATATACGTTCTAAATTGGAGGGAGAAATTGGTGGTCTGACTCCGAAAGAGCAAAAAAATTGATCAGAAGTCTTTTGTTTTGCTTTATCCTTAATCCTTGGTCAATTTGTAGTAAAAAAAATCATATCTGAGCATAATGCGACTTATATTACAAAATTCACAGCTCAATTTAAACTGACTGTAATGTATGACTTAAATAGAAAATACTTGAAAATTTCATTTTAGACTACAGGAACATAAACTTTCAATATCAAGATCAGTTTTGGTTGATTTTTCCTTGTTAATCCTACTGCTTTAAAGACTTTCCACAAATTTTAAAATGAGTTTAGTAAAAAATAAAAGGTATTGAAGAGTCAAGGAATATTGACCTCCCCCCCCCCTTTTTTTCACCAGATGTCAGTAATGGGACTATTAATTGATCAATAGTGCAGTTATGGTCATTAAACTATTTTTATTTACTATCAGTCAATAAAAGCTAAGGTAGAGAACTTTCATTTGAGACAATTAATAGGATTGTGAGGAGTTTATGCAGTGTTCACATTAGGCTATGTTATCTGCTAAATACATGGAATAACGCAATGATATAAGGGGTAAAAATCAAATAATTTCATTAAATCTTCATGACGACAATTTTTTTGGGGTAGTAAACAACCTATCTTTTAATGTTTAATACCACAAAAACAACTTACTGTGCATTCATAACAATTTAGGACATTTGTTTTATATGAAAGCATATTGTAAGGGTGGGAAAAGCTAAAAATAGCACAAATTCAGGTTCAAGGCTCTAGATTTGCAATATGTGACTTTTTGCTAAAAAAAAGGTTGAACTGTGGCTACTATCATTTCAAATGATCAATTAAGACAAAAAAAATCAACTGTTTTCTGATTTTTGGGTTTCACCGCTTTTCGCTTTAAAGGTGTCAGACCACCAATTAAAAATCCCTATCTGTTCAACCAAATTTTGCAATTTTCACAGCTTTCTGAATATTTTACCTCAAGTTTAACTTCATAGAAACCAGGTATATCCTGAATCATACATGTATCACCTTAACATGTCAATTTTCAACCTACTTTTAAAGTCTTATAAGAAAAATCTGACCTTCGGAACACAGGTGCTACCAAAATAACCCCTGGTTTTCTGGAAATCTTAAATTAGTATACTGTGGAGCACATTAATCCTTAATTTTTAATGCAAACTCATAGACTGGTAAATTTTGACTCAAAATGGTCTTAATATATTTCTCTTTCACCAAAAGTTTCATTTCTGCAAATTTGTTGGTTAGTTTAAGTAGAAAATGACACCAAAAGCACTATTTTGTGTCGAGAAGGGCTGCTTTTACATACGTTCTAAATTAGAGGAAGTAATTGGTGGTCTGATACCTATATGCCCTACATGTCATTTTTTCAGACTTAGTCATTTATATTTTCCATATACTAATAACATTGTGGGATTGGGGAGTCCTTTTGTATGTGTACCTACATTTCAAATTAATATTTTCAATCCAAATTCTCAAAATTTCAATTGAAAGTGACAGTAGCCATTCTTCGATACAAAACAGTCCACGTATACAGGAAGATTCAAATTATAACAGGCATGTTTAAGTATTAAAAAGAAACCATGAGCCCAGATGGCGAATGGTTTGTTTTTCGTGAATCTACGCTTATCCATTGTATCTCTAACTATTGCATGTATTGTGTTGATGTCTTTTCAAAATTAAAGCCTTTTCTTAATTAGAACGTATTGTAAGTGAGTTTAAATAACCATGTTATCATGTTCAACAATGCATTAATAAATCTAAGTTCACAATTAATTGGTTAGAGAAATACAAATATAACAGAACACGTCTGTCTTTAATTTATCAGGCATCTGGATATCATCCGTAATTTACAAAATAAGACATATTCGAACTTATTTCTAACATGTCTAAGTATATATGATAAGTATGCTGCCGAAAATTCTATCAAGAAGCCTAATTCTAGGCACATCACGATTTACTTGCATAGGGATTTGCGAATAAACATTTGTAAAGATATATAGTAAAACAGATGAAAGCATACTATATTTATAAAACAAAAATGGACAAATTGAATGTAACCATTTTCCTTTCAAATATGTGAAATAGCCAATAATAATCAAAAAATAAACGGGAAAACCCGCTACTATTACAAAAATAATCACAGTTACATACAAAGTAGGAAAAACGGAAAAACTGAAAATACGGACAACAAAGAGAATACAGGGATTTGAACCTAAACCTACAAGTCTCTACCTTTAACTTGACTCTTTAACTCATTGATCTTAACCATGTTAAACTCGCGGCTACCAACTTATACTGTACGATTGTCTATTATGTATACATAAAGTGACAATCCCTGTGACACTGTCCGTTGTACCAATGTGTATCATATGTTCAATTTAGACTTGTTCATATGTTCATTTATATATAATAAATAAACTTGTAAATTGCAATACATTGGTAGCCGAGAGATTTCGTCGATGAGTTGATATCAGTCACACATAACATATTTCAAGGAGGGGTTCGTTTCCCAAAAATTACAAAAAATTAAAGGTCAGTTAAAATAATTCCATAAGTGAACAGAAATCAGTAAAATAGCAAATTCAAACTTAATGAAATTAGGCACACAAAGGAAACAATGGAATATAATTTGGTGAGTCGATTTGAGCGACAGATTTAGGAAGCGTTGATTCTAGAAAAAGAATCCACGGTAAATGAATAGGCTGACGTCACGACAATGGTTTAATTACATTGCATTGTAGTCATTTCTTATTTTAAGGTTTAAGTATCGGTTAGTCTGTGGAAAGGTATATACTATGAAATTTAGAGCGAGGGGCTTGCCCCGAGCACTTAATTTCATAGTAAATACCTTTCCATTGAATATCCAATTTAGCACATATTTCCAACTCAAATAATCTTTTAATTGGTTTATTGATAGTTTATTTTGACTGATTACTTTTATCACAAGTGTTTGTAAAACGGAGTTCATTAACTAAGTATTATGTTATGTAAATTTACTCACTAGTATCATAGCTATCATATTTGATCAATTTGTGACAATGATTTATCAGATCATGAGTTTATAAATGCAGCATGCACGAATTGGGAAAAGAGCGGTTTATAAGTCAATTACACAGAAAAAATATGTGATTTAAAAAAGCCATTGACTCCAGAATGAATAGATGGTAGCTGCTGATGTAAGTATGTATAATATTGATATAGAGCGATGTTTTACTACATGTACTTCTTTACATGGTAATATGACATAATAAATTGACCAAAAAACAGGCAAACATAATTAAATTGTAGTGGAGCTTTACATTTTTTGAAAATATTCTTCAATTTTACAGTAAAACTAAAGCTATAATAAATTTGCAAAAATACAGATATATGGGCCCATAGATAGTCTAGCTAATATGCATTAAAAACAACTACCAATAGATCAAAGATTATATATTTTTTTTTTATTTCAAAGTAAAAACTAAAAACTTTGTCAGAATATAGATAAAGGTAGCACATTCCCTTCAGACATTATCAGGGTTTTTCAATTCATGATGATATTGATCAAGTTCCTTAAGAAAGTTAAAAACATCAGCATAAAGTTGCCGCAATTTCCCTTCACAATGTTGCATAGTACATACTTTTTTTGTACAAAGTAATTGCATGAATGATAATTATAAGATAGCGTTTTACTCTAATCAAGATATGAAGGACCATATTTGTTATTTTTTATTTAAATGATAGAAACTTGCAATTGTCAAAAAAAAAAATTTAAACCACTGCAGATTTTTACAACAGGATATATAAAAATCAATGTGAGAACTAATTACAGACATTTTTTTTTATTTGGCACACAGCATTTTATTCCAAAAGTACAGTACAATGAAATCTTACCCTTGTGGTCATTCATGCATAGTTACTTAGTACACGGGAAAAGTATGTACTATGAAACTTAGGAGGCAAATTCAAGCAATTTGATTGGACAAGAAGTTGTAAGTATGTGCTAATTCGGAATAGATACAAACCAATTGTTATATTGGTATCGATCTATACTATGACTGGGATTTTTATGGTGAATAATTGAATGTTAACTTTCCTTAGGCAATATGATTTTATATACGTAGAAGATTTAACTTACGATTGACTTTAAATGCTGCTCCGGTCTAGTAACAGTGATCATAGAACCTGAAATATACCCAAGTGCATATATATCTTTTCTATGGTCAGTATATTATATACTTGTATATTCTATGTAAGCTACTTAACTGCACCATTAGAAATGTTTGCACGACATGCACATTTAAATTTCAAGATGCAAAGACTGGTTTGATAAGAAAAATAACTACATGTTAAGATAACCATATTTGCTAACGACATACGTATTATATATATACATAAATGGCGATGTTTGGGTGCTCGAGTTGTTGAGTTGGTCTCTAAAATGACATTAAATACACGCCTCCTTTTATTCATATGTAGAAAAATGAAAATCCCAGACTTCGTTTTGCTGTATTCGAAGTGCTTTTCCAAATTTACTATAATCAGGGAAGCTCAAGGAAAAAAAAACATGTTGCGGCCGGAAGAAAATACTTTGTGTTCAAGAATGATCTACATTGCAGATTTGGAAAATATTTGGATAGTTTCCTGAAGGTAAACGAGGAGTAAAAGTTATTTTGAGAATATACCAAAAGTGCAATTCAATATTTTTATTATGGGAAATTTGGTAGTGGTGCTGTTTATTTAGTTATAGAATTTATAAAATACAAGATTCTGTATTCCGTGTTCAACAGCTTTCATTTGTACAACATTTTTCCTGTCACTCCTCTCTGTATGATACAATTGTTCGTCATCACTGTCATACGTCTGTATAATAAGTTTAGCTAGTAACGTTTCTAATGAAGGTTGTTAATTTATTGTAAGAAAAACGGTTTCGAATGAATCACATTTAATATATTGTCGAACAATTTAACGTGATTTTAATCAACATCAGCGCATAAAGTCTGATGACTATCATTGTTTTTCCATTTTCTTGTCTTTCATTTTTGATACTTTGTAAAAATGAAATATGTTAAGTCTATTAAAGACACATGTACACTATGGCCTCCGTAAGGTTTCCGTCTTACTGTGACGTATTTAAGTAGCTACTATAATTATTATCTTAACTGTGAATTATACGATAATTTCTACTATGAATTAAAAATATTTTCCGTTAGCTATTATTTCTAAACTTACTGTTATATTGATTTGTTTTACATTTTAAAAATAAGCTCCCAATTATCAAACCAGCTATAAATGTCAACGGAGTTCTTAACTTTCTGGTACTTTTCATAAACATTTCACTAAATTTTATTATGTCCGAACTTTAAAATCCTCATCGTTTGAATGATCATTATTTCTGAACATTTCTACATTCCTAAAGTCTGGGGTATTTAAAAAAGAAAACAAAATTACACTAGAATATAAGTTAATCGTTATTATCCTTGTTTGGTCAACCGACTGTATTTGTTTGTACAGTAAGTGTTATTTTAAAACTCTGGTCAGTAGTTTTCCATTCAATAGTCCACCGAACATGTACTTTAAAAATATCAATATAATACTTATATCCCAGCTCCTTTGTTCTACCAGGGGTGATCTGAGTCGGATCATCCCTACCAGATCACCTTACGGGAGAAAGGAAGAAAGACCATTCACAATTTGTCTTACATTTATTTTTCTCTTTTTTAATTAAATAAAAAAAATAATAAACCTTTCAAATGTAGAGTTCATAAGATAAAAATATTCCCTGTGGAACACCTCCCCTCCCCCTTTTTTTTGTGCTCTCTATTTTCAACCCTCGAATTAAGCTTTCCAATCTAATGAAAATCAAAACCTTGCTTTCTAACCAATCTATTCATGTACCGGACCGGCAATTTTCTTTATTTAATACGAAAATCTGCAGTGCCGTTATATACATGCATGTTGTTTGCTTGGAGTCCCAGCCCGAAAAGAAAGAAATAGCCCAACTCCAAGATACTATATTCCTGCATCACGTGATTTTTACCACGTGGAGCTTACATTTGAATAAATACCGAATATGGAAAGTGAAACTACAATTCAAAACATAAAGTCCGAAGGCACAAATAAGAAAAAGAATGTTTTTTTTTGCAAAGGGTGCGGGGTAATTCTCTCTGTGTTCAAAATATACATGAAATATTTGCCACTGCCCCTTTTCTGTTCTATAAATTCTAACCCCGAGTTTTCTATCTGTTACATGCCAAGAAATCCTCGCTAAAAATTCCGGTCTACCTCCTACGGCACTCTTTAGTAGCTAAAGATTTGATTTCGTTCAACAAATTAATTTATGACCTTCATGTACGTGTCGCTTAGAACACGGCCATATACCAAATGGTCAATATTAATCATCCATGTAATTTGCTCTATGGGGTGTTTGCAGAATTTCAACGGAGGCAATTTCTTGGCATGGCTTAAGTTTCTTTGTTATGCATGCTTTCCTTTGTTTTGCAACATTTTGGCGGGAATGCCTAATCCACAATAAAACTCAAGTTAGAATTATTCTTAGTATATGTAAGAGAATGATACATATTTATTTTTTTAAGTTCCACACATACAAAAGAAAAAATCTTCGCCGATGTAACATTTCAATCCTTTTTACACCAACATGCCTTCACTGAACTCATTTGAATTTCGTGGTGACCATGATAGTACATTAGTTTAAACATATTTTATTGTCGTAAAACATTGACAATAGGATTAGACACAAGTTTTGCAACTTAGAACGTCTTCTCCATTACATACAAATAATAAATAGATAGTACATTGCATACTACGTCTTCATTCACGTGTACAAATGATACGATTATTGTTGTTTTGTTAGCGTTTTGTTACTATATTTCGGGGACAATATTTGCTCCGTTTATGATACGTAATTTCTGAATGACCAAACGCTTAGCTACTGTGTAACGTTCTGTATGTTCGTTTTATAGCATGAAAACACTAAAAGAGGAATGTGCAACCCATCATAAATTATTGTAATTATTGTAATGGATCAGTATTATGAGATCCTTATTATAAGTAACTACGACATTGAAAGAAATTAAAAGTGGTTCCTTAATCATCCGTATATAAGCGGCACATGCATTTTATTTTATCCTTATATTTTTCATAATGCGGTACAAGATAATTATGTTGCTGCAGTATAATATTTCGACACAACTATTTGAAATTCACAAAACATTTATTTAATTCTTTTGACCAAAGATTTGTAAACTATACATTGTCAAATCCTTGTTTTTACGTTCGTAGTAACATAGTACATTCCATTGTCAGTCACCTGTGTCAATTTACGTGCACACTACGATTGTTGTTGTATTTGAATCTTTCGGCCAATGAAATGAGACGTTACAAGTTGTTTGTTTGTGATACGCCAGAATGTTATCAATGAACTACCAAACGCTAAAGTTGACTGCATTTCAGTGTAATCCATTTCTTCATGATTAAGTACGAGCGTTAGCGAGTACTTATCATGAAGTAAGGGATTATCATTCTCTTACAAACTTAGAATATTGTTAAGTGCTCAAGGCTTAAATGATCTCTTGATTGGTTTTATTCAAGAATTAGTTTCTTTGTATATGTAAGAGAATGATAATCCCTTTCTTCATGAATAAGTACGAGCGTTAGCGAGTACTTATCATGAAGTAAGGGATTATCATTATGTTCTAATTCGCCAGACTTAAACGAACATAAATTATTTATGCAATAAAACTCAACACATGTATCAGAAATGAGCTCTCCTTGTGAGGGTAGCATACTTTTTATTAACCAATGTATAATATAAATCAAACAGTTCGTTTCAAAGTTCATTTTAAGCACATTACGGCTTAATCTCAGTCGTTATTAATTAGGTATAAAAACAGTCATACAGGCTCGATCACAGTCAGCCAACCATTAATACATACAAATATACACCAATCTACAAAACAAGAAATACAACTTAAATAAATCATTATAAGTAAAACATTACTTTCCACATAAAAACAATAGATGGTCTTGATGATGGTGGGGGGTGAGGGGGGGGGGGGGGGGCTTAATACAGGCAAGGCAGTAGTACGGCGTATGCTACTCAGCGTAAGGCAGAACTTCGAATAATAACATTATAAATTACATTTAATTTAATATATCAAACAGCAAGCACGAGAAACACGAGCCAAAATCATACGATACATAGAATACCTGTTTTAAATTCGCAATGCGACGAATTTTATCCAATGGAATACATTGTAAACATTACAGGTATTCTAAAAACATGTGTTGATGTAAACAAACACACGTGTTTTACCAAAACATATACATGTGCTTCCGTACTATTATTAAATATATTTATGTTCTAATTCGCCAGACTTAAACGAACATAAATTATTTATGCAATAAAACTCAACACATGTATCAGAGATGAGCTCTCCTTGTGAGGGTAGCATACTTTCGAAAGTAACAAAGAAAGAAAAGGGGGAGGGTCATATGCCAAGGTTTTTAGAAACTGTTAATTTTTCTGATATGTTTTCCTGAACATACCCATCTTTTGCAGTTTCAGATGCCCATCTCCCATGTTTCTTGAATAACCTGTCATTTATACCAGCAGCGGCTGCAGCCGTCGCACCACCTGCTCTCAAACTGTGTAAACCAAAATTAGATTTTTCTAGACCTAAAGATCCAAGAGCGTCTAACAACAACTCTCTAGTCCTTGTATAAGATAGAGGAGTAATTCCTCTTAAAACATAAGTGTTTGTTTTCTTACGAAAAGTTACTGCTCTAAAAATGATTTCGTTAGAATCGATTGCTATGTTAGCTTGTGATAAATATGTGTGTAACATAGATACCGGACATGTCATAGAACTAGTCTTCGAAATCAACACTCTACTACCTTCTCTGTGTTGGTCAGTCTTACTTTTTTCGATAAATAAAGACATATAAGTAGGATAAAACTGTATATCTGATCTTTTCAAATTAACAAGTTCGGAAAATCTTAAAAATCCTGCATAACTTGTAAGACACATACAGGCGATTCTTCTATGATTTAAAGTACTGAATTTGTTACCGTATTTTTGTACAATCTGGTACAGAATTTCAGGTGTAATAGGCTCTTTCTTTTTTACAATGTAATGCCCGATTGACCTATGAACTCCTTCTTTAATAGATGTACATAAAAAAGAATTACAAGGATCGGCAAATCCAGCTAGTTTATGTGACCAACTAATTGCATAGTAAGCTCCTTCAACTATAGATGCGGATTTGTGTTTTTTACATAAATGAATCAGGTATAACGAAACATCATAGTCTGATGCTGGTAAAGAATTAAGATTAAATGAATTACACCATCTACAAAAATTGTTAAAGGCGTACCTGTACTTCTTCCGAGTGCTTTCAGCTCTAGAGTGAAGACAAAATTCTGGAAGACATTTTGCTAAATTTTGTAATGGCTGGTGTGGTGAAAGAATTTCTGATGACCACCTACCAACGCTGAAAATATCTGAAAAATGTAAAAATTCAAACAGATAGTAAATAAAAAAGTATATACTACATGACAAATGCGTTTAATATATAATCATTACTGACCTTGCTCCGTACTATAGCCTTGTCAGATTTCTAAAAAAGACCTCGCTATCATTTCTATAGCCTTGTAAACATGTGTCATGTCTATGTCACAGTAATACAAAAACAGTTATCTACATTGTTCTTAGCCTAACAGCTAAAATATCAGAATTAAAATTCTTAGAGCCAAAAATGGAATTCTTGTTGTTCCCTTGAAGGAATATGCGTTGTTCACTGGAAAATTCAATTACTTCCAATACATAATGACGAAATTCCATGTTTCTTCTAAATAATAAAGTCCAAAACGATGAAGACGGCCATTTTGGTACTATCAGGGTACCTTCGGCTTTACAGAGTACTAAATGATTTATACTTTTAGTAACTAAATCAATTGGAGGGACTATCCAATTATTTTCATTTTTCCAATTTTGTGTAAAAGCATCAATAGCTTCACTCCCGGGATTCCAAAATTTTGAATTAAATCGCTTCAATTTTGTATTAGCAAAATTGGCAAATTTATCAACAGTATAAGGACCCCATAAATTATCCATGAATTCAAAAAACTCCGGAGATGTTTGCCAGTCATCTATATCTATCATTTTAGACAAAAAATCAGCTCTACAATTTTCTGATCTAGGTACCCATATTGGATGTACAATGACTCCTTCCTTCGAACAAAATTTAAAAATGTCATATGCAAAACACTGTAAATGCATCTTGGTGCTACCTCTATTGATTATTTTTACACAGTTTTGATTATCGGTGTGCCATTTGACAGTACTGTTTTTTAAAACAGATTTAAATGAATACAAAGCTAATTGAATAGCCCTTAATTCTCGCCAGGTCGAACTCATGTTTTTCTCATATTCGCTCCATGTGGAATGAAAAACTTTTTCATTCAACTCTACAGTAAAAGCACCTGCGGCTACATTACTAGCATCTGAATACACCACTATGTTTGGTAAGGTGTCATTCACAAAATTCTTCTGATTAAGATTTGTCAAACTGTCTGACCAAAATCTCAACTCTGCTAATACACACTCAGTGTAAGCAATATTTAAATTACCATCCCATGATTTTCTGTTCTCAATTGCAAAATATAAATGCCTTGTCATTAGGCTTGTGACATTGCCCATAACTGGAGACATAGAAATAATTCTACCTGTGAATTGTGCTAACTGACGAGCACTTATAATGGGAAATTTATTCAAAATATTGTCAAGCGATTCTTTTTCATCATTTAATCTACGTTCAGACACTGCTAAACTAAAGCTTTTCGAATCCCATATTAATCCTAGCCATTCCAAGCGTTGAACTGGATCAAAAACAGATTTTTGTTCATTTATCAAAAATCCAGCTAATTCCAATGAGCACTTTACGAATTCAGATATATTTTGACATTCTAAATACCCTTCTGACATACCTAAACCATCATCTAGATAAAGCACTATATCTGCACCGTTTTCACGCCAGTATTTAACCATAGGTCGTAAACATTTTGTAAAAATGTAAGGCGCTGAACTCAAACCAAAAGCTAAAACTGAAAAGCAATAAAACTTTCCGTTCCAAGAGAACCCTAAATATGTATGTAGCTCTTTGCAGATGTCTAAATGAAAATATCCAGATTTTAAATCAAATTTAATAGGTATAGATCTTTTTTAAAAAATTGTTGAGCAACTTTCCAATCTTCGAATTTTATTTTATTTTTCAAAACGTATAAATTCAATTCAGATAGATCTTATATCAATCTCTTTTTCCCGGACTTTTGAATGGCAACACTTAATGGATTTACTACAAAAGGCTGGAATGGTACTTCGTGTACGCATCCGTTTTTCGAAAGTTCGAGAACAGCTTCGTTTACAAAATCAGTATTATCAACTGCAGATTTATTATTGCGGAATTTCATAGGAGGTGGTAAACTCACAAAAGGAATCATATAACCTGATTTTATAGTATTAATTATAAATTTGCTTGCTCCAATGTGCTCCCAAAAAGCTACATTTTTAGATAAACTACTTTTGACGCCTTTGGCGAATTTGGAAAAATCAACTTTATCAAAATACTTAACATGTTCGAAAAGTATATTCATGTGCCCTTGCAACAAATATTCATCTACTAAATTAAGAAACTTATCTTTTATCTTATGTTGCTGGGTTGTTCCTTGGTGTAAATTGCTTGCTGCTTCTATTGGGACAGTTTGTCCTCCAGTGTCCAAATTGGTGGCATTCATAACACATGTCATAGGAAGTCGCCTCTCGGCGACTGTTCCTCCGAAAGGGCGGCTGGTTGTACTGTTGAAGAGGCATATCTGCAGTATTAGTAGGAGGTCTGGAAACAGTAGCTGAAGGCTTAGCGTAAGGTTTAGTACGACTTTTCTTCTCCTTGATGGTTTTGAGAGCTCTGCTTTCAGCTTGTCGGAGTCTTTTCTCGTCATCTGAATCTGATGCTATTTCGTCACTCTCGTACTCGCGAACTGTGGTCCAACCAGCAGGAGATTTATCGGCTATTCTGATGAGCTTATTTCTTTTGTTCAACTTTAAGATAAGTCCAGAAATTAAATTTATAGAAACAAAATCTTCCTTCGAAAAACGTTTTTGCAGCTTATGTAGGTCAGCAAGGACTTCGGAATTGAAAGAAAATTGGATTTGATTACCTTCACTCTTTAGTTTCACGGACGCTTCCTTTTTCAACTTAGTGGCTAAGGAGTCGTTGCCCGACAGTAACTCGTTCTTCAATGCAGATATTTTAGAATCGAAGTACGACGTAAACAGTTGAAAAGTGCTGTCACTTATTTGTTGCTGTGGCGCTGTTTGCTGGGTTGCTGTCGACGGTACTGGTATAGGCAAACTAGGAAATGCAGTTTCTCTATTAAGAACGACAGGAGTTGTAGACTCGTGTAGTAGTAATTCGTCTCCGTCTTCGGAACGGTGGTCTGTCATGGTTAATACAGGCAAGGCAGTAGTACGGCGTATGCTACTCAGCGTAAGGCAGAACTTCGAATAATAACATTATAAATTACATTTAATTTATATCAAACAGCAAGCACGAGAAACACGAGCCAAAATCATACGATACATAGAATACCTGTTTTAAATTCGCAATTCGACGAATTTTATCCAATGGAATACATTGTAAACATTACAGGTATTCTAAAAACATGTGTTGATGTAAACAAACACACGTGTTTTACCAAAACATATACATGTGCTTCCGTACTATTATTAAATATATTTCTCTTACAAACTTAGAATATTGTAAAGTGCTCAAGGCTCAAATGATCTATCAATTAGTTTCATTGTCAGTGCAATGTTTATAATTGATGCATGACTTCCCTTTTCGGCATGTCATTTATGGATTAGTTTTAGTGATGTGAGGACTTTCTTATCATTTGGGAAATATTTAAAAAAAAAATGCGTTATAGATATTAGGTGACATAACAGTAGAAAGAAAAGATAGGAATTGTATGTTTCATGATTGTGAGTATGAATGTAAATCATGTAATATTTTAGTGAGGAATTATCCTTTTTTTTATTTACAGTTTAAATCAGTTTATACATTTGAGTTACAACTAAGTTTTATTTCACAGCCAATAATTTGGTCCGGCTTTTTACATCAAATACTGTTTTATTATGTCAGGGAAATGTTCAAAAATAATGCACTTTAAAGTTTTTAATATGTTCAAAACTAAATTCCTGTGTTTTTTATCGGAATACATGTATTGGAAATAACTATTCTCCCCAACCGATGATCAAGTAATCAAAGTTTTGGAAAGCTAAAATTTAGGTTATTTTTTATCTGAAAGATTTTTTTCCTTTTTTTTGCATTGCTTTGGTATTGTTTAATAGTAATTTGAAGTTATTAATATTTTCATAATAACATTCACGGTACCAATTTTACTGCACTAGTAAACTTCAACTTATTTTGAGATTTTTTTTTGTTTCACAATTCAACTTTTAGTCAGTTTCAATCACTTTGTGATAAATCCTTTCAATCTGATAAATGTTCTTCGGGGCAGTTGTAACTCATTTATAGAAACTCTTTGTTTTGAACTGTAAATAGACCCAAATAATAGGATAATCCCTTACTAAGAACATGATTTACATTCATTCTTCACAATTAAGAGGCATCCAATCCTACAATTTCATTGGTCGAGAGTACTTTGCTATATTCTAAGTCAGTGCAATGTTTATAATTGATGCATGACTTCCTTTTTCGGCATGTCATTTATGGATTAGTTTTAGTGATGTAAGGACTTTCTTATCATTTGGGAAATATTTTTAACAAAAATGCGTTACAGATATTAGTTGACACAACAGTACAAAGAAAATGTTGGAATTGTATATATTTACTGATTGTGAATATGAATGTAAATCATGTAATATTTTAGTGAGGAATTATCCTTTTTTTTATTATTTACAGTTTAAATCAATTAATACATTTGAGTTACAACTAAATTTTATTTCACAGCCAATATTTTGGTCCGGCTTTTTAGATCAAATACTATTTCATTATGTCAGGGAAATGTTCAAATAAAATGCCTTTAAAAGTTTTGAATTTGTTCAAAACTTAAATTCCTTTTTTTTTTATTTTATCGGACTATTGGAAATAACTAATCTTCCCGACAGCTGATCCAGTAATCAAAGTTTTTGAAAGCTAAAGATTTAGGTTATTTCTATTTTAAATCTTTTTTTTTCTTTTTTTGTATTGCTTTGATATTGTCTAATTTTTTAGTAATTTGAGGTTATTAATATTATCATTATTACATTCACGGTACCAATTTTACTGCACCAGTAAACTTCAAATTATTTTAAGTTTGTTGTTTGTTTCACAATTCAACTTTTAGTCAGTTTCAATCACTGTGTGATAAATCCTTTCAATCTGATCATGCTGATAAATGTGCTTCGGGGCAGTTGTAACTCATTTATAGAAACTCTTTGTTTTGAACTGTAAATAGACCCAAATAATAGGATAATCCCTTACTAAGAACATGATTTACATTCATTCTTCACAATTAAGAGGCATCAAATCCTACAATTTCATTGGTCGAGAGTACTTTGCTATATTCTAAGTCAGTGCAATGTTTATAATTGATGCATGACTTCCTTTTTCGGCATGTCATTTATGGATTAGTTTTAGTGATGTAAGGACTTTCTTATCATTTGGGAAATATTTTTAACAAAAATGCGTTACAGATATTAGTTGACACAACAGTACAAAGAAAATGTTGGAATTGTATATATTTACTGATTGTGAATATGAATGTAAATCATGTAATATTTTAGTGAGGAATTATCCTTTTTTTATTATTTACAGTTTAAATCAATTAATACATTTGAGTTACAACTAAATTTTATTTCACAGCCAATATTTTGGTCCGGCTTTTTAGATCAAATACTATTTCATTATGTCAGGGAAATGTTCAAATAAAATGCCTTTAAAAGTTTTGAATTTGTTCAAAACTTAAATTCCTTTTTTTTTTTATTTTATCGGACTATTGGAAATAACTAATCTTCCCGACAGCTGATCCAGTAATCAAAGTTTTTGAAAGCTAAAGATTTAGGTTATTTCTATTTTAAATCTTTTTTTTTCTTTTTTTGTATTGCTTTGATATTGTCTAATTTTTTAGTAATTTGAGGTTATTAATATTATCATTATTACATTCACGGTACCAATTTTACTGCACCAGTAAACTTCAAATTATTTTAAGTTTGTTGTTTGTTTCACAATTCAACTTTTAGTCAGTTTCAATCACTGTGTGATAAATCCTTTCAATCTGATCATGCTGATAAATGTGCTTCGGGGCAGTTGTAACTCATTTATAGAAACTCTTTGTTTTGAACTGTAAATAGACCCAAATAATAGGATAATTCCTTTCTAAGAACATGATTTACATTCATTCTTCACAATTAAGAGGCATCAAATCCTACAATTTCATTGGTCGAGAGCACTTTGCTATATTCTAATACAGGATAGAATAAAGACACACTTTCAAAATTTAAATAGAAAAAATCCATTGTCTATGCTGGGATTCGAACTCAAGACCTTTAGCATATCAACCCACGACACATAACCCTACACCAGGACGACTGATACCAATTCACAGTAATTTAATATATTTAAAGGAAGCAAGATATTTTCATAAGTGGGGCGAGTTGGCAGACCTTTATTCAGGTCTTTTACTCTTTTCATAAATAACGCGAGTTATCAGACTGATTGTTCAATTGGATTTTACCCTTTTTCATAAGTGGGGAGAGTTGCTAAACAAGAGTGGGCGATTTTTTAGAAAGTGGCGATTTAGTGTGGGCCGATTGGCTAGTGGGGCGAGTTGACATGGTTTCATATTTAAACATCGTGTTCGGGGGTCATAAAGGGTATGTAAGATTTGAAGTATTCACATTTTAAATATAAGTTAATTATTTATTAATTGTTTAACTAACGTATTCATTTATTCTTGTAAGAATACGAAACACAGTTTTTACTATTTATTTATGAAAGCGCTAATGTAACGTTGCGCTCTTTGGAATAACACATTTTCCCGTTTCTGTTTTATGACGTTACGCCTTTGACGTGCGCTTCGTCGTCTAGACTTTATTTGATTGCATACGGATGCACATTGTTTTTATTAGACAGGTTATAGTTGGTAAGAAACCTTTTATGTATACTATCTTTTTATTACATCAAAACTTATTTAAAGAGAGAAAACATTGTATACTATTTATTAGAAATATGCGTAACTTTTAATTATTATTTTAAACGTAATTTAACCCTCTTGCTGCCGAGTTTTTTTCTTACTTTGTCGCGCCAAAAGCATCTTGACGTTTCATATCTGTGACGTTGCAAAACTTGTGCCTCTCTGTAGAACAGCGCTTTCCCGCCGTCCATAATATTTCCCGCGTCAATGTAGCCGTAATTATGAAAAGCGATGTAAAAGTAATTTTATGAAAACTATTGCTATAAGATTGTTATAAACGATGTTTTTAATACAATATTATTTTACAATACAACTTTTAACCTTGAAATATAGTTTTTTTTATCTTTCTTGTCTTCAAAAAAATGAAAATAATATACCCATGGTCACCCATTGCTACTAGCTTTATAAGCGCTTTTGTTTTATCTTTGTCAAGTGAAATGCATAACTGATTCTTAACCACCTCTAAAATACTAAAATATATTTATCCTTGTTATCCGATTAGCTTAGTAAACCTTGTTATAATTGATAAATACCGTAAAAAAATCTCTCAAATAATTATATAAACAAAACAACGGCCCCAAATAAAAATAAAAATAAAAACAATGAGTGTACAAATAAAAATAAATAAAAACTCCGAGCAGCCAATTCTATGAACTACTTCTTGTTGTAAAGTATCAAACGCGTCAGATTAAAATTTTCATTCCAAGCCTTGTTTCGGTAGGCGAGAAAATAATGTTTATAGACGTTATTATCCATATTCATTTTGTTTGTTTTTTAATCATGTTTATTATTATTTTGTTGAACACTTATTGCTAAAAATTTTAGAGCAATGTTTGAAAATATGAATTAAAAAAAAAAACAGAAAAGCGAGGGAAAAAAATCTCTAAAATTAATTTCTATTGTCTACAAATGAACCTGAATCAATAATAATTCATTTTCATTTTCTATGATGAAGTACACACTGTAATTGGCATACACGAAATATCTTTTAAAATCTGTTGATTGATAAATTGTTCTCTTCTCAACGTTCAGTGGCAAGTGTTTCATGCAATATTAAGGACGTCTGAAATTTAATGTACAATAAATCTGTTGCTCAGTGGGTCCTACAAAGTAAAAGATCTGTGATGAATGGCTGAAAATTGAGGTTGCCACTGGGAAATGATGATATGTAGGATAGGAAAAGAAATCATTGGGTCACCTACTAATTTACCATCCCCATTTCGAATGAAAATAAATATTTTTAGATTA